AAGTGAGGAAGGAAAAGCAAGGGGGAGGGGAAAAGCGAGTGGGGGAAAACCCCGAGGTAGGCGGCGGGAAAGCGGCCACCGAAAGCCGAGGAATGGCAAACCCAAAACTGACACCAAAAGCGGCTAACCCTTTATCGCACATAGGGTTTCCTTACAGGACCGCATATTTAGGTTGCAGTTATGGGGTCTCTCTCTCTCTCTCTCACTCTCGGTCTCTCTCCCCATCTCTCTCTTTCTCTGGGAATCTGTCTCTCTCTCTACCTCTACCTCTACCTCTCTCACTTTCTCTTTGTCTCTGGGCCAGGACTGCCTCTCTCTTTCTAGCTGCGTGGGTAGGAGTCAGGGGGGGTTGGGGTCCTTGGACATACATATGTACATAGTTTTGGGTTACCCAAAATCGACGTGATGTTATATTATATGGAAAACACAATTTGCTCAATGGTCTGCCGCTGTCGCTGCCGCAGTCGCTGCCAAAGTCGCAGCCACTGTTTGCAGTCAACGTCGCAGTTGGCTTCGGCGCCAACTTTAAGTAGCACTCGAAATCGTGGGCGGTACCGATTTCTATATATATATATATATGTCGCTGTGTGTGTGTTTGTGTAGGAGTAGGAGTGCGATGCGAATATAAAGAAGCTGCAAAAAAAGAATATAGAGTGGGGAAGAAAAATAGTAAAAAAAAGCAGAGAAGGGTGTGCAAAAACTAGAAGGGGGGGTTAAAGGGGTCACTCTGACCCCCCCACACACACCTACACACACACACACACACAACTGGCGATCGCCGTTTTGCGGGCTGTAACTGCTGCCATTTTGTGTGACACAAAACTATGGGAAAACTATAAAAACTACACATTCCCTCCCAGTTGGCCAAGTTGAGGAAAATTATATGGTATATAAATATATGAGGAAAAATACAAGGGGAAATTAAACTGAACATACTGCTTTATAAATTTTTAAACATAAATATTTATACTTATGGGTTTGAGTTAATTTTAAAAGGCAGCAAATGTTTAGAAAGATATATGAATATAAATACTATTAATTAAATAGGGTCTGTCAATTTAGAGTAGTAAACTAACTAATTAATATGCCAAGTCTTTGTTTATATTTAATGTATCATATTTAATAAGTTGAAAATAATTAGAATTCATTAAATATTTTATAGATTTAGCTAGTTATTATATATATATTTCGTTAATTAATGATAGCACCTTATAATGTGTAAGGAGAATTATCATAAACTATTTTTAAATGCTGTCAATGGTTTTAATTTAGCCCATAATGACTCTTTGTGTATCTTATGTCCTTGTAAAATATCTATAAATTTATAACGATTTATAGAAAATAATAACATTTATAATTGTATTTATAATTTGGTCACATAATTGAGTTCCTTTGTAAGCATTCGGTTCCTGAAAAACCAAACATTGCATTGTGATAGATGTACAAATCTCCTTTTAGTTTTCTATTAAGTTTATTATTATTATAATTACTTAATTTCCATAAAACATATTAATGCATTATGATAGATATATAAGAGTCAACTTTAAGGGAACATGTCCTTCTTTGGCTTTCTAACCAAATAAGTCTCTTAGCCTTAAAGCTCTTTAAAGACAACATTCCAAATAGTCTTTTATTTTATTTATATAATATATATTTCATAACAGATAAGTTTACGCTAATATATCACATAACTGGCATAGAACTTATAGTATAATTTTTCCAAAAAAATTATAATTATGGCACTCTTTAATATTTTTAAATCTACACAGGTATGTGCATAATATTCCCCCTATGCTAATGAATTATTATTTTAAGTCTTACTTCAAGCGTTATAGAACATCCCTCTATATATTTATTCTTTTATCCTTTTTCTAAATTAGTATAAGGTTTAAATAGCTTCTTTGAGGAGATACCTATTTATATTATATCTAATTTTCCTATTTCTAGCATTATAGTGCGTTCCTCTAAATTCTTATTCCTTATTCCCTTATCCGTATTCTAAATGAATATAAAATTCGTAAAACTCAATTACTTCTCCTTAAAGAAACCTATTTTTATTATATCTTCCTTCTAGCCTCTACAGTGCATTCCTCTATTTATCCTCCAAGAACTAAAGGATAAAACCATTTACTTGAGTGCCTGGCACAATTAATGCAAAATACTTGAGCACTTTCAAAAGGCTCTTCTTCTTCGGGCAGACAATGGCCCCTCGACGAAAGTTGCTTTCTCAATGACATCTATAGGATGCTATATAGTGCTTATAAGTGCAATGGAAAACCCCCTCTAACCCCTGAGGAAAATATCTCGACCCTCTTCCCCAAATTGATTGTTTTTTTCTCAGTCCTTTGTTTTGACTGAGTCAAAGTTTTGCATCGTCAAAAAAGACGATGCCAGACAGAGAAACGCTGAGATGATGATGACAACTTTTGCTTGTTTGACCCAGTTTTCCTTCGCATTGTACCGATCTCAATGGCTATAAGTGTGTGTGTGCTATGTGTGTGTGCTATATGTGGGAGGTAGGTGGAAAACGTAAAATGGAAAATGGAAAATGTCATGCAGCCATGCCAATCAAGTAATGCACCAGAGGCAAGCCATAGCCTTAGCTGCCTCAAGACGAAGATGCTGTCTCAGCAGACACATGATGGAGGGTGAGGGGTGAGGTGGAAAAGTGGGAAAATGCCATCCAAAATTTGTGTGTGGAAAATCAAGGGGGGGGGGGGAAGAGGTGGAAAAGGGTTTGAAGGAGGAAGGCGGTGCAGCAGTGGTTCGTTTGGTTGGTTCGTTGGTGTCACATTTTCGGTGAAATTTTGGTTTGCAAACTTTGGCAAAACTTGGCCAAGTATTTGGCCTCAAGTGTGTTAAAGCGGGACGGAGACAGGCCAGACCGAGTTGCCCGAAAGAGATGGCTAGCTGTGTGCGAGAGAGAGAGGGAGAGAGTGAGAGTGGGAGAGCAGGAGAACGAGTGCGGAGCATGTGAGTGTATTGTGGTCGGTCGACTGGCGGAGAATTCTCAGCTCTTCTCAGCTTAGCTCTGCTCTCTCTATCTCTCTCTGTCTCTGTTTGTGTGTCTCTCTTACTCTCTCTTGCTTACTCGCTCTCCTTGCAGAAGCTACGTCTTGGCCTTTTCTTAAGCTTTTGGCCGGTCTCCTTGTCCCCCAGTTTACACAGAGAGAAAGTTCAGGCTTTATTGGTGGTTTTAATGAAAATAAACTTAAGGCTAATGAACATAATTAAATTAATTACTTATTTAAACCAAATATTTTAATAAAAATGAATCAATATTTGAACAAAAAGTACTTTCTTGCAAGGGAATTATAGGGCCTCGGTGGCGTATACGTAATATTTGTTCAATGTTTTATTGTGTTGTAATAAATTAAATATTTTAATACAATTTTTAAACAAAAATCAGACAATATCTATCCAAAAAGGACTTTATTGGAAGGGAATTATAGGGCCTCGGTGGCGTATACTTAATATTTGCTTAGAGCTTAATTGTGTTATAATAAATGAAATATTTTACTAAATTTTTTAAACAAAAATCAATCAATATCTGTACAAAAAGGGCTTTCTTGTAAGTAAATTAAAATGCCTCGGTGGCGTATACGTAATATTTGTGCAATGTTTTATTGTGTTGTTATAAATTAAATATTTTAATACAATTTTTAAACAAAAATCGGACAATATCTATCCAAAAAGGACTTTCTTGCAAGGGAATTATAGGGCCTCGGTGGCGTATACGTAATATTTGCTCAGTGTTTAATTGTGTTATAATAAATTAAATATTTTAATAAATTTTGTAAACAAAAATAAAACAATATCTATACAAAAAGGACTTTCTTGCAATGGAATTATAGGGCCTCGGTGGCGTATATTTAATATTTGTTTAGTGTTTAATTGTGTTATAATAAATTAAATATTTTAATAACATTTTTAAACAAAAATTGAACAATATCTATAAAAAACACTTTCTTGTAAGGGAATTATAGGTCCTCAGTGGCGTATACTTAATATTTGCTCAGTGTTTTATTGTGACCCCCTCCTGGTGGAAACCCCTTTCGGGGGCATCATTTTAGACAAGTCTCCATGTCTCTGCCGCAGTCGGCGTTCTGTACTGGCATCTTCTGGTGGTGGTGGAGAGAGAGAGTGAGAGGGTCCTGAATCCTCAATCCAAAAGGACTGAAGGACTAAAGGAGCAGTGCACTGGCTGTGGCACTCTGGCAGCTCCTTGGGCCTCCCTCCTGCCCGCAACTGTGGGCTGCCACTTGATGGCGGCCACATGGACATGGCCAAAAGCAGCCAAAGGGAGACGGAAAGATGGGCGTTTTTGGTAGCAAACAGTGCGAGTGAGATGCCGTCGTAGCCGTCGCCGTAGCCGCCGCCGGCTGGGGTATAATTTTAATGAATTTATTTAGGAGTTTGTCTTGGGGCAGGTGGACGCACACACACACACACACGCACACACTCGTTCCTTCTCTATACATAAGCAGCAATGGCCGCCTTTGGAGGGGACTTCCCCCCCTTGTGGCAGTGTTGTTTTGCAGCAACCAAAATGTGCGGCAGCATTTTTGGTCTTGCACAGTGGGCTATATGTGGTCGAGACGAGGCTTCTCCCGGCCCAGACCGGCCCGGCATCATCTCCATTTCTTCAGTCTTGGCCTTCGTCCTTTGCCCTTTGGACTTTTGTTTCGATCCGTTTTTGTTTTTATATATTTTGGGCCATTGGTCTTGGCATTGCACATCCCTCCTCTTCACTACCAATCTGGGGCTCCTTTTTTGGCCATGTGTGGGACTGTCTGGCCTTAAGCATATGTTATGTCTGAATATCCTTCAGTTCTCAATAAAAGAAATTAAGTTTTAAGCAAGTACATTTAACTAGATATAAATTTAATAAATATAATGAACAAAGTTTGCATTTATGACAATTATTTATTTTGTGTTAAGCAATTCAATTTAAAATTACATATTTCTTTAATGTTAATCATTTGATTTGTTTTAAGTTACATATTTTATAGTGCAAATGCCATTGCAGTATTTTAAAATCTATATAATTCTTTGATTGTGTTTAGCCAAGGGTAAGTTAATGATTTGATTTTCGTATTAAGTTAATTTATCGTGCAAATGCCATTCCAGTCTCTTCAACTCGTCAATGTTTAGTTCAGCGACCACTCGAAGAGTGGCCTTTAGGATATTCAATTTTTCAGGATCAGGACGCCTCTGTCTACGCAAAGGTCGCTGAGCCGGATTCGATTGGCTCCTCTGGTGGTAGTTTTGTGGATTCGACCAGGATATTGGCAACTGCGAAGAGTACGGCATAGAATGGGGCGGCGGCGGCGGTGACGACATGGGCGGCATGGAACTGCCCGGGGGCGGCGACATGGGCGGCATGGACTGGAAAGGGGGCTGCGGCATGGGCGGCATGGACTGGCAAGGGGGCGGCGACATGGGCGGCATGGACTGGCAAGGGGGCGGCGACATGGGCGGCATGGACTGGCAAGGGGGCTGAGACATGGGCGGCGGTGACTTGGGCGCCAAGGACATTCCCGTCTTTTGTACTGGTGCCCAAGGATCCTTCTTCTGTTGGGTATTCGAAGAGTCCGGCTTCGGGAAGGCCAGCGGATGATTGTCCCGCGAGTAATTAGGTGTAGGTGTCGTCTTGGTCTCCACCTTAGGCTCCTCCTTAGTCTCCTCCTTGGTCTTGGCACTGTCATATAAGCAGGTCACCATGTCTTGCACTTTATTCATTTTATTTGTGTTCTGCAAATAAATAAATATAAGTACAACGAAATATATATAGAAATGATTATCATTTATCGCACCTTGACCTGCATGCGGTATATTTCTTCTTTCAGTTCGCACATCATTTGGCTGAGCTCATTGAGTTTAGTATCATTTTGGCTGTACCTCATTTCGGAGCATTGGCTAAAAGAAGGAATAAATATAACCAACATGATATTGTTTAGCGAAATCCTAATTTTAGTAACTAAATATTAACAAAATATAATAATTGATAATATTACTTTTATCTGTATTAGTTTACCTGATCTCCTCCTCTTCCTCCTCAGTCCCTTGGCTGGTTTTATCCATCACGTTTTATTTTTGTTCAAGAAAATACAATTTTGATTGTACGATCTAACGTTGGGCAAGCCAGGTTTCGTAATGAGAATATAGAACAGATTTTTCAAAGCTTACTTTATTGATTTTCCAGAGAGTACTAGTTCAGGAATGAAATGATGTTAGAAAAGGTTTATATAAATCAGAAATATGGGGTTACTCTAACTTAAGGAAATATTATATTACCTATTTCATAAAATACTATATAAATTTATATGTAATCTATTATATTTACTATTATATAACCTATTATATTAACTAAAATATATATTAAGTATTTACCTAGGACTTTTTTGGTGTTCCATTACGCTTACTTGTTGACAAGTTTGGTATCTTTAGCTGATGTAGTCTCTAAGATCTAGGTTCTAGATTCAAAGGTCAGCCAAAGACTTGTATAAATCGATTCGTCTGGTGACATAAAATATACAAAATAAGACAATAATGTCATGATATTTCAAGATAGGATATGATATAATAAAATAAGTCCAGAGTCTCTAAGATCTAAATGTTTATACCGACAGTGACACCCCTTTCTTGACTGATTCCTCTGTCGACCTGCTAACCCCAGATAAAGACCTGAATTTTACTCAAGTTTTCATGAATTTCCTTTTGCAGGATTCGCTCATCACCTGGTGGGTATGCACAGTCACCTGCATGCTCCCGATTGGCGTGCCCACATGGCCTTGGGCGGTCGTCCTGCGGCCTTTCCAGCTGCTCCTTTCTTTGGACATCATGCGGCGGCAGCCTTTCCCACGGCGAGCACTTTGAGGGGATTGAGTGGTGAGTTATGGAGCCTCTCAGATCGAAAGTATATATATAAAGATATTAAATTTATACCCACAGATAACCAGCAGCAACAGCAACAACAGCAGCAGCAGCATCAGCAACTGGCGCACAGCACCACCAGTCCGGAGGGATCACCGACCACCACAACCACCAGTGGCACACAGCTGAGCGCCTTCGTGCAGCCCCCATTAACCTCATCGCCGCCGCCGCCCCTGACTTTGTTGCAGCAGGACAATAACAACAACAGCAACATTGATGCAGGATTCGAAAGCGATAGTATTTCTGTGACAGGATCACCGCGCAAGAGTCAGCAAGGATCACCGCTCACTCACGACGAAGAGGAAGCGGAAGCGGATGCAGACGCTGAGGCGGAAGCGGAAACGGAAGCGGCTGCGAATAGAGTCGGTGGCAGTGGTGTTCCCTCATCGGGATCTTTGGGTGAAAGTTCCCCAGGATCGGGTGGCGCCTTCACCGCACTCATTCAACGCAGTAAAAATCCCACGGAACTGTTCGGTGGCTTTGGAGCAGCCACCGGTGGCCATTTTGCACCCAGTCACAGCTTCAATCCCGCCCTGGCCGCTCAGCTCTTCCTCCAGAGTCCCCTGTTGCCGCAGTCGAGTCAGTGGCTCTACAGTCAACTCTATGGCAACTACAGTGATCTCCCCTGGTTGAGGAATGCTGCGGCGGCGGCTGCAGCGAATGTGGCACCGGAACGTGGACAGGATGCAGGTACCTTACCCACGGCGGCGGGTCTAAGCAATCCGGATCACGATGGCGTCAATCTGATCAAACGATGTGTGACCCTGATTACGCACAATCCACCGGATGCAGAGAATGCCAATCCGAATGCCTCGCCACCGGTTAGCTCCACACGAAGATCACCGTCGCCGGTGGAGACCATCGATTTGGATGATGTGAGCACCACTTCGCGCTCGGCCAGTGGCTCTTCGGGTGGCGGACTTGGCCTTGGCACCCTGGGTGTTAGTGTGGGTGGTGCTGTGGGTGTGGGTGTGGGTTTGGGAGGTGGTCCCATTAGGACACGGACCCCCAAACCAACGGGGGATGTGTGGCGTCCCTACTAGCGGCTGGCGGCCGCCTTGCTTGGCACTTGCCTGGCGGCTCAAGGACACGACCTTGGCGACAGCGGAGGCGGCGGCGGTGACGACGCAGTGGGTGGTGCTGCCGGAAAGGGGGAGACCTAGACCCTTTGAGGGGGATTGGGTAAAGAATATATAAAGGCAGATCGGTTGTGGTGTTGTGAATAGTCGCCATATCGCAGCTGGGGGGATTTGCAGCTGGAATTTTGTTAGAAACTTAATTGTTGGTGATAGAAATAATATCGAAATATAACGATAGTTTTCATTTAAAAAATCTATCGATTTATATAGATTTTAAACGATTTTAATCTTGCCAAATGGAAAGATTTATATATGTTAATTTTAATTTCTACAAAGAAAGCTTATATATATCAATATATTTCAAGATTCTTTGATAAATGCCTCGACAAATACAAAAGTTTATTATTTGTCAATTAAATGTCTGATATAATACTTTATAATACAAGATTGTTTTTAATGTATATCGAAATAGATTTTTAAACACAAATTTAATTAAAATTATGGATAAATATCTTTGTTAACCGAAAAAAAATCAAATATGAATATTTGTAATATAATTTTATACATTTTGGATTATTTTCTTATATTTTAAATAGTTATTGCGTTCCAACTTTCAACAATAAATTAAATGAATATATCGGTATCTTAATATTAATAATATAATGGTATTAATTATATCATTTATATATTATTTGATCTCCTATTTATTTTCGCCAAAGAAACTTCATCATTTAAGTACAAAAACTCTTGAGCTTAGTTCAAACCCATAAAGTATGGTTTAAATTTTCGATTATTTCCAATTCACCAACAACAATTGATAAGCAAATTCCAGAAGCAAATCTCGCATTATGTAATTTTTTGGGTGTGCGTTTTTTTTTTGTCAACTAATATAAGTGGCTCACATATCGAATTTAAATCAATTAGCATGACCCTAAGAATCAAATATATAAGAAAATGACGGCGGGGGCCGCTCACACATAATAAATATACGAATATCTATATATATACAAGATCTGTGTACATTGAACATATATAAAATATAGATGCTCTGTATTTTCCCCCTCCTAAATAAATATGGCAGAAATCATTACAATTAGATGTTTAAGTGAATACATTTTTTTTGGGCAAGATACAAACGAAATAAATTCATATAAAATATATATACATATTTTAAAATTTATTAAAATAAATTTAAGTACAGACTTGAATCAGAGATATACCAATACATAAAGACACAAATACACTGACAAAAAAGAAATGAAGAAAATCAGATGACTTGTACATACATAAGTTACTTGAGTAGTGTGCCAAAGATTCGTTAATAAAAATTTCAACTAAAAGTGCTTGATTATTGAAATACCATTTTGGAATAAGAAGAGGTTTGGTTTTAGGTTTTATTTTTAAAGAAAACGGGGTTATATTTAAAAGTTATAAGTATTATTTGACTTACTGTTGAAAACCATAAGAAGAACATCACAAATATTATTTTTTAGTGAGAAATCTTTATTCTTATTACTTGTACTTGTGACAAGTAAATATATTTTATAATATTAGTTGATAAAGTATAGCTACATTTTTACATTAATGCTAAGCCTTAAAGTGTTAATGCAGATCAGGAATTATTATGTTTATCCACAATATTGCCCTGATTTCCTAACCGAGCCCAAGGATATTCAAGAATATGAAAAATCGAGGCAAAAATACAAAAAGAGAAGGAGAGACAGACGCTTGGATAATCAGCGCGCCGCCAAGGAAAGCTTTTAAGAAAATTAATTCACCCCCGCCCCTAAACAAAAAATCCTTTAAAGGGGTTAACAAATATATATAAAAAAAGAAAAGAAAAATAAGAGAAAATAAAATAGCGCAAAAAGAGAATTGAATTTATTGCCGGAGAGTCTTTGGCGCAAATAGAAATCTCGCCAAATAAAAAGTTTAAATAAATGGTCAAACTTGAAAGGAAAGAAAAAAAAGAAGAGAAAGAGAAAGAATCCCGGAAAAAGGGTCTCGAGAAGAGAGTGAGACTGGGAAAAAGACTTTCAACTTGTGATGTGTTTTCCAGCAGCTTATTTAAGTCGTGCGAATAATGAATGAGTTTTCCAGCTCATATTAAATGAGCTTGGCGGCGATCCAAGAGAGCGCCTTTTACCGGGGTTTCCCCTTTAGTTTTCCTCTTGTTTTCCTCGTATTTTCCTCTAGTCTTTTTCGCCTAATGAAGCATAGAAACAATTAGCGAATGGCTTCTAAGACAGCCCAGAAAATACGGGGATTATCCCTCACCGAAACCTTTTGGGACTTAATGTAATCACTTGTCTTTATCCCAGATTATTTATCTTATTCTTATTTGGTCGGTGACTTGGTTAACTCTTTTTTTATCCAGCTTAGTAGGGGTTTTTAATTGTAAAGGGATTACGTACATAATTTGTCATTAAAAGAGTAAGTAAACTTGATTTTAGAGGTTGAAGGTAATTATATTTTAAGGTGTAGAGCTAAGTGAACTTAATTTTCTATATCAATGTAATTATGATGTTATATTTTATGAGGTAAATTTACTTATACTTAAATAATTAGTTATTTTATATATATTTTTGTAATTTATGAATTTAATATTTGCCTTTTACATATTTAAAATTTATCATTAATAACTAGCTTTCCCTTTTTATTTCCATCTTTTAAATATAATTATATACATTATTGTTGAATAAAAAGCATTAAGTTTGGTTTGTAATTAATGTAATTTTTATATTTTCTTTTCATTTTTATTACAAAATATTTTTATTTTAAAGATTTATACAAACTATAGTATTTTCTAAAGGGAAAAGTATTCAAATTCCTTCCAAAAGTTCTTATTAAAAGGTTTTCTATTTCTATATCTCCTTTACTTCTCATCATTATCTCTAGTCATTAATTTTATTTTCTCAGAATTTGACTTATTTTTTTTTAGCTCTAGTTTCTCTTTTTCAGGGATATATAGCTCATTTGTCAAGTGCTCCACTAATCCCGGCCATATGTGACCGGCGAGCCCGGGGAATCCCATTATTATGGAGATGTTGTGTGCGTGCAAGGAAAGGGTTTATCTAGCGTGCTCGAATCCGAAACAAATGGCTGAAAATTAACTCTGCCTTATGAGTTGGAACTGACAAATCGGCAAGTGAATATCCTTGCATCCTGTTCCTTTTTGTGTCATTAAAATCCGAAAAATTAACATACTCGAATGTGAACACTGCGTGGCCAAAGAAATTAAAAATGAATAACCTGAAACGAAGGCAACGAGATGTCCCGTCGTCCTTGGAGGGTTGCTATCCACTTTTTCCTCAACGACTTTTCGTCACATTTTGAACACCCCTTCCCACCCCTCCCCGGGTTTTCTATTTTCCTTTTTCCACTTTCCACTTCATCGTTATCAACGCAACCTTGTCTCGCTCGTGTCACCTTTTCTGACACCGACAGGTCCTTACTTTTATCCAGCTCATGGTCAAAGGTCCTGACAGTCTCAGCTGCATCTAGGTTTTTTTTATTTCTTCTAATTTAAAAGGGATATTTTTCAGACCAGAAATGTATTTATATTTCCTTTAAAGAAATCAAAAATGGAAAGCCATTAAAAATGTATTTTAGGGGTTTTACATTCTTAGAGAGAGTATTTATTTAAAAAAGGAAATCTTTAGATAATTTCTTAGATTCAAAATAGATAATAAATATTAAAAATATTGTTGTTAAAATAAATAAGATATATTCAAAATCTTTAAGGATATTCAAGTAAGGGGTATAAACTATTCTTATCCCCTTTTGGAGTTACTTTATATATATTTTTTGCGTCAGCAGCTAAGGCAGAGATTTTCAAGCTGCCTTCCAATTTGACATGTCTGAAGACGTTGTCCTGGCTACCTCGTCCTTGCATTTGTCCTTTCTGCCTCAGATGATGACTGGCATTTGATGGCGACAACTGTGGGTGGGTTTTTTGGGGGGCGGGTGGGCGAGAAAGCGAGGTGATTATACCAAGAGTGGACGGTGGCAGTTTTGGGGGGTGGCAATCTTAAGGAACGGCTGCGACACAACCTAATAAACTGTTGCCCAGGACGACCAGCATTTGACATTGGCCAGCAGCAGCTCCTGGTCTCCTTCTTCTTCGGTTCATTCCTGCCGGTTTTGTTGGCAACAAAAGGACGAAACTTTCATATCGTATTTGAGGTCGAACAGGTTCGAAATTAAAGCATCTGTCCTCACTGAAATTTCCCGCCCATTTTCGACTGTCGCTCAAGCGTTAAATAGAAAATTTTATGGCCACTCGTTGCGAGTGTCCTGGTAACACAAGCACGCACACATATACATATTTGTTGTCCAGCCAGATAGGAGCAAGGTATGTTAATATATATAAATAGATGCACAGGACGAAAGTATCCTTATACTTTAGACTTTCGCATTTAACTAGAATCTAGTATACTTTGAGGAATATTGTTATCTACTCTAGTTTCTAATTTATGATCTATCTATCAATTGCTTATTTGTTTTAGTTTTTACTCTTCAAAATTGTATAAATTCTTTACTTCTTTTAATATTTTCTCATAATTTTTCTCTCTGCACATACACTTAACCGTGTGTGAATCTCCGAATCGCGTTTTCATTTCAATAAGTGGGCTTTCAATTAACATGTTTCACCCCGAAGCTCCCGGGAAAATTGCCAGCTCTCTGGCAGATTTTCCCTGCCAAGTAATTTGACTTTGTGTCATTTTGGAGCTCCCAAGGACGAGGTGAGGAGACTGGAGACTGAGTCTTGAGGCATGACAGAATTTGCCGTTTGCTGCCAATTATGCCATCATTAGAGACACTCCCTCTTCCTACAACACACACACGTGCAATAAATTTAAGTGTCGCCTTGCCTCTGCCCCTCGTGTGCCTTCAGTTTATTGCAAATTGTTGCTCAGGATATATAATATATATATATATGTTTGTGTGTTGTAGGTATTGGG